AACCCTAACCCTAACCCTAACCCTAACCCTAACCCTAACCCTAACCCTAACCCTAACCCTAACCCCAAACCCTAACCCTAACCCTAACCCCAAACCCTAACCCTAACCCTAACCCTAACCCTAACCCTAACCCTAACCCAAACCCTAACCCTAACCCAAAGCGCTGCAACAGCAAGCTATGCGCGTCGCCAAGGCCCCATCGAATCTCAATCGGCAAGCGGCGCTGAAGATGTAGGGCGGCTGAATGTCAGTACAAGCGGCGTTGATGGGCCTCCGTGTCCGCCGCGGCGTTGATATGCGCCTGTGCGTCTTTGCCGTGCCGGTCAATGCGCTGGCAAGAGCGCTGCTGCGGCCGGCCGTCGGGCAAGTGGAGCGTGCCGCCTGAGCAGATGCGTGCCGCAGTCAGCGTATGTCTGAGCACCTTGTGGATGCCCAGGAGCCGCTGCCGAGTGGAGCAGAAGCCAACAGCAGCGACGCACGCTTGCTTTTAGCCTGGCGCTTCTGCCTGCATGCTGCTGCTTGTGCATTGCCTGAGCTAGGCAGCTGCGCCTGCTCCGCCTCCCAAGTAGCCTGGACATTGCCCTGGCTTGCCCGCTTCCGCGTGAAGCGTGAAATCAAAGACTCACCTTGCTTCCGCCGCTTTTGCTGCCGCTTGCGCCTTCTGCTCCCTCCTCCAATGGCGCAAGCAACGCCGCAACATGCTCCGCAGGCAGGCACAGCATCGGCGGTCACGGGTATCATTGCGGGGTGGGGTATAGCAGGAGACGAGGCGATCAGGGCCGCTTCGAGGCGCCTGGAGGCGGCCGCCGCGGCAGCTGCGCCTGGGCGGCAGCCGACGCCGAGACGATCGTCGACGGCGCCGCAGATGATGCTGCTGGAGCGACGGCGCCTGTCGAAGAGCTGCGCGCGCGCATAGCCGCGAGCTTCGCCTCCATGGCCTCGATCTTGGCATCCGTGCTGCGGAGGCGCGCGGTGTGAGCATTGGTCTGCCCGGACTGCGCGACGGCACGGCGCACGCACCTCTGCGGCCGCGAGGCGTTCTTGACGAGGCTCAGCGTGGTGGGCGCCTTGGACGGCACGGTCCGCGCACGGCGCGCCGAAGAGGCGTCGTCGAGCTGGGCGCGCGGTCAGAGGATATGCTACAGATGCGAGCATGGCGGCCAGAGCATACGCCGGGCTGGCCCGGCATGGCTGCGCGAGTGCCGACGCCCCATCACCACGGGCAACCCGCAGAGGCGCCTCAGATCTGGCGCGCCGGACCGTGCACCTCGCACTCGCCGGCCGGCCACGCAGAGGCGGGACCGACACGCCAGCGCATAGCACGGCTCTCGGCCCTCGCACGAGGCGGTGCAGGCGTCGAGCCAGCCAACTACCGCACGGCCCTGCTGCACCTTCTCATCACCTGTCGATGCCCGACGTATCTCTCTGGCGCATCGCCAAGTGCAACCTGGCCACTCCACGGCTGCCCGGCTGGCCTGGCAGCGCCTGCGGCACAGCGCGCCCGCAGCACGCCCACCGCTCGTGCCGCAGTTGACCCTCTGCACACCCATCGCCGGACCCTTGACACGATCGCCCATGCCGTGCTTGACCCATCACACGCTCGGGCCCATCACACGCTCGGACCCATCACACGCTCGGACACGCCCATTGCCGCCGCGGTGCACTGTCCATCTCACTCACCCGCTCGTCGGCAAACGCGGCGGCCAGCGTGCGCCCCGCCAGCGTGCGCCCGTCGAGCCGGCGCCGCGCCACGTCGGCATCCTCAGCGCGGCGGTACTCGACAAAGGCATAGCCGCGCGGGCGGCCCTTGAGCGGGCCGGGCCCGTGCACGGCGAGGTGCAGGTCGGCGACGGGGCCAAAGGGCGTGGCGAGCGCGGCGAGGGCGGCCTCGGAGATGTTGGCGGGCAGCGAGGAGAGAAAGAGACGCGTGCGGGACTTGGGCCGCGGCGCCGCCGACGAGGACGACGAGGACGCCATGGTGGTGGTGGGCGAGAAGGAGGCGCGGCGGCGGTGCGAGCACGCGAAGGAAGCGCGCAGGCGACGCGGCGACGTCATCAGCGTCGCGCATGTGGAGAGAGGCCCGCCCGCCGCCGCGCCGCGTCCCGAAGCTCGCTCTCCGCCGCATCTGCCTCCGCACCACCACACCACCACCACACAGCCCGCATGTCACTCCTTCGTCCTGCCCTCCACGCCTGCCCGCGCGCCGCCGTGCCGCGCAGCCTGGCGCCGCGCGCCCCGCTGCGCCTCTTCCACGCCCCTGCTGGGCGCGTCGCTGCCGCACCCGCCGCCCGCTCGGCCGCAATTGCCGCTCCCGCCGCCCGCCGCGGCGCCTACTCGCTCGGCCTCGGCCTCACCCTCGCCGGCCTCGCACTGGCGCCGCAGACGCACGAGCCGCTGCGCTGTGGTGCGTCAGACGCCCAGTGGCTCGTGGCCGCCGCTGACTCGCCGCAGACTACACGCGCGCCGCCGCCGACCCGATGAACCCCGGCGGCACGCCCAGCAAGCCGCTCATCAGCATCAAGGACCTCGGCTTCGGCACCGTGTCGTGAGTGGCGGCATCCGCCGGTCGGAGCCTCCTATTGTGCGGTGCAGTGCTGATGCGCTGTGCAGCGGCGCGTGCGCCGGCTACGCCGTCAAAAAGGGCCTGCGCATCGCCGCCATCCTCGGCGGCCTCACCTTCATCCTGCTGCAGTACCTCAACTCGCGCGGCATCGTCTCCGTCGACTGGGCCAAGATCGCGCGCCGCTGGGACACGAAGCTCTCGGCGAGCAAGCCGGCGGCACAGGCCGAGGGCGACAAGGCCGTGCCGCAGCCGCTCGTCGGCAGCAGCGCGGCGCGCCTCATGGGCCGCCTCATTGCGTTCCTCACCAACGACCTGCAGTTCCGCGGCACGTTCGTCGCCGGCCTCATGCTCGGCCTGCGGTACGGCTAGACGTGGGTGCATGCAGAGCAACGGCGAGGGTGCAAGCAGAGCTCCGATTAATGCAGGTATATGCCAGGCGTGGAGGTGCTGCGCGAGGTGCTGCGCGAGGTGCTGCTCGAGGTGCTGCTCGAGGTGCTGCTCGAGGTGCTGCTCGAGGTGCTGCGCGAGGTGCTGCTCGAGGTGCTGCTCGAGGTGTTGCTCGAGGTGCTGCTTTTCGGATCGCCGCAATGAGTGCACTGCGCTCAGACGGCCCGTCCGTCGGCCCGCGGCACCACGCCGGCGGGGTGCACGACGGCATCGAGCGGCAGATCGTGCGCATCGGTGGGCACCGCCTCGCCCGGGCGCAGCAGCTGCGGCGCGAGGGCCAGGCCCACTGCAGTCTGGCGTCAGCACATGCCAGCAGATAGCCACTTGCACACCACGGCCGACGTACCAAGCAGCGGCGCCGGCATGCTGCGCGAGGCATGATGGGCGGCGAGCGAGGAGAGGTAGCGGTCGCTGCAGCAGGTGTCAGTTCCGCGCAGCCGGACGCAGCGCACGACGCACTAGTAGCCCTTGCCGTGGCCGAGCCGGCAGCAGGCGTGGTCAAAGGCGACGCCTGGCGCAGAGTCAGCCTAGGCCCAGCGCCGTGGTAGACCGCTTCACACCCACCCGGCACAAGCACGAGGTCCATCGGCGGGTCGGCATCGCGTGCCTCTGCGGCCGCACGTCAGCACCGCCCCACACCAGCCTGCACCGCTGCGCACCAGCACACACCGGGCTGCGCGCTCCACACACTCACCCAGCATCTCGGCGCCCGCCGCCGCAAACTCGCGGATGCCAAACGCATTCTCCTTGAGCGCCTCAAACGCGGCGACGTCGTGCAGGCGCAGCATGCGCATGTCGGGCGCAAAGCTCTTCTGCGCCGGCGCCGCCGCGTCGGCGGGCGCGAGGGTAAAGTGCGGAATGTAGATGTGCTTGCCTGCGGAGCGTGAGCGGCGCGCGGCACCGACTGGCACACAGCGACGCACCCTCGGCGAGGCCGCGGCGCACGACGGCGTCGGTGGCCACCTCGCCGGCCGCGCCGACAAAGACGCCGACGGCGCGCGCGCGCGTCCAGGCGGCCGTGGCAAAGAGATGCGCGGCGACGGCGCCCGACTGCTCGGCCAGCGCGGCGGGCGCGAGGGCGCCGAGCGTGGCGAGCAGCGTGCGCCGCAGCGCGCGCTTCTGCAGGCGCAGCGTGGACATGCGAGGAGGTGGTGGAGGGAAGACGAGGCGCGCGGCAAGGCAAGCGCAAGGCAACGCAAGACGCCGCGCGCTTCGCGCTTCCTCGAGGCGCCGTCGCCGCGCCGCGCCTGCTTCCCACCACCATGTCCGCCGCACAACTCGGCACCGCCATTCCCGGCGCCGGCACCAAGGGCCGGCCCGTCGTCTTCTTCGACGTCGCCATCGGCGACCAGCCGGCGGGGCGCATCAAGATGGAGCTCTACAGCGACTCGGTGCCCAAGTGAGTTGCGAGCGGCGCTTGCCAGGCGGGCCGCGCTGGCAGAGGCGCAGCAGGGCCGCAGCGGTGGGACGGGCAGCGCTGGCAGAGGCGCAGCAGGGCCGCAGCGGTG